CAGGCCAGCTGCTTGTTCGACTTACTACCGGCGAAGTCGTCACGGAACCAGCCAAACCGCACTTCGAGCAACGCGACGATCATCTGGTCCGTATAGTTTGCTGAGAATTTGGGTTCGACAGCGGCCCGAGGTTCCGATGGAGTTTCAGGCTGCCCGACGAGGGGGATCATGAACGTGGCTGCTTGCATTTCAGCTCGGAGTACCCGATTCTCTTCGATGAGTTCCTTTTTTGAAGGGGTCTTGAGCTTGGCCATGTCAATGTCACTTTGTTGGTCACCAAAAGACCACCGATTTGCTCTTTTTTCTGTCCTATGCTTGATTTAACCAATCAAATACCTTTATTTGTTATTCACTCGTCCGGTGATGGACCAAAATCTTGACCAATGAGGGAGCTCTTGAGCATTTTCTGTTTGATGAAAAGGAGAGGAAAAAGTTGTGAATTGCCACTCCGAACTCCTTTTCGTTTTATTATTTAGCTTACTCCGAAATGGGCCTTAGCAATTAAAAATAGGGGTTTCGCTCTTGTCGCTGGGTCAACGCCGCGCTCTCGTCGATGCAACCGACGTGGAACGCCCGGAAGCACGAAGATGTGCACATGATGAGCTGGCGGTCTCCCTGTCCACACGCAAAGCACAGCGTCGCGGTGAAATCGGCGGCCTGGGTCACTGGCAACGCGAACGGCGACTGCGAGGACGACGACGACGACGGCTGGGACGACGCTTTGGCACAACATCACAACATGCGCAAAAAGAACCAACAACTATCTGGGAGATGCAGGAACAGGCCGTAAATTTGACATTGCGATCCACTACCGTTAACGTGTAAACATTGCCGTGATGATTCTGCGGCACTTGCAGGGTTAAACCGGGTATTCGCCTCACCACCTGTCGGATAGGATGTGATAATTCCTGATCATACATGTACCTTTGTATTTAAAGAAATTTACTATCCGTTCGCTACCCGTTCTATATCAGAAAGAAAACATTTCATGCACATGTGCAAGAAAAATTCGAATTCGACACTCGATGCATGCGCGCATGAGCAAAATGCGGAACTTTGGTGGGTGAATGCGTAGGCTAGGAGTGACGACGAGGGATGGGACGCATACCAACTTGTAGACTATTACACGGCACATGTGCACATCACAACCTGCACCGTGGCAGCTAACCATAGATAACGGCATCTCATGCGCATGTGCACGCATGTGCGCGAAAAACTACAAATTCGTCCTCCACCGTCGTCGTTTTCGTCCTGTGCACTCCACGTAGGTAAGAATGCTTGCATGCACTACCTTCCTACACATGTGGAGCACATGAGCTCACAGTTTCAGCTCACCTCCAGCGTCACTCCCGAGAATTTGACCATCTGCGCTTGGACTTTCCACACATGCGCGGGCAGCATGTAACCTTGAATTGATTGAAATATTCTCATAAAATCCTGAAAAAGTGGTCTGGAGCAATATAAGTGGAACAGAGGTAGTATTACATATTGTGTACCAGTAGCAAACAGGCATACTTTTTAATAGCGAATTCCTAGAGCAATCTGAATATGGCAGTTGAAAATGACGTGCATTCCTCCATTTAACTCCTATTAATAAATAGTTCATCGTAATTCTATTGGCTATTCGGATTCTACAAAGGTACATCGTATGGTTTTATTGTATTATGATCTTATTTCTGCTACCAGAGTGGTTCGTTGCTGTCGGGGACTGTAACTTTGACACGTGCACAATGACCTACTTCGTGAATCGTCCAAGAAAATGGCCGTGGAAAGCATGGAGGCTGAGCGAAGTCGACGCGCGAGTCTAGACAACATCGCGCAAGTACGGCCAAATGTTACACAATTGCCGATCTTGGCATTATACATGTCAATTATAAAAAGATCATGCATTTCCACATGTAACGTTCAAAACCATATAAAAACAATTCAATACAAATTTCTATATAAAAAGTTGATATAGATTGAGACTCAGGTAGAATACCGTTCTAAAACAACTTGTGAGAGTTCTGGCAAACTGGTATACACCACTGCTGTACTTGCATCCCAACATCCTCATGTTCTCACGTAGTATGAAGTGAACATTTTGAAGTAACTTCGGTGTGGCTTAAATTTCCCCGTTCGCTGCATGAAGGGCAGACTTAGCCGACATGCGAGATAATCGCTCATTTCCTGCATCTCCCGGATTGGTTCAAATTCTGATGCTCAGTAGTTCTCATTGGTAAATGCCTGTTCGATTTCCCATACAAAGATCAAGATAATATGACTGGTGCACTATTATGACCAATACGATGTTACATATCATTTCATCATAATAACGCACCAGGAATGGTGAGTGGCCAAATTCCTTTCTCACCTGTCCTATTTTGACCGATCCAACGACGACAACATGGAGTGGTTTTGGACAGGTGGCGATAACCGATTGATCGCCGAGCCCATCCACCATACGAACGGCGAAACCCAGCTCGACTTCGGTCGTGTCCGAGTCCAAAACGACGTGGACATCACGTCGCGGAAAGACGTGATGCCGCGAGGCAGTTTGTAGACCGTCATGCAGTTCCTTAGTCCCACAAAAAGCTTGAAGCCGTCGACTGGGCTGCGGTGGCCTGGCGCATCAAGGAGGAACACCCCCGAGATCAACACGTTGCGCGGGAATACGAACTGTTAGTTTGCGCGTGGGTATAAGGCGCACAACGCGTATTTGGCCACGCCTCGTCGTCGCTCATGCCCGTGTCCTCGGTCGCATCGTACATCACTTCGATGATCTAATAATTCTCATTGTTGTTTGTATGACAGACAACTTTGACGCGGCGCTAAAGCTGCTGACCAAGGCGAGTTCTTGCGACCGGACTCCGTCGCAAGCGATGATGATGAGATCCCTGGGGCAGACGAATACCGCGATGCCGGCGGGAAGAGGGCCATTAACAGTACAATGATGGAGCCGTGGGACGGCCATGGTCGCGTTCACGAACGGCAACACGGTCGGCGCGCAATGGTCTGCGATCGAGTCGGTACTACGTCGACGGACGACCACTTCTTGCTGTCGAGCGAGGTGGGGCTCATCGAGGGCCGGACGTCGCGACCAAGCACCGCCTCCTCGAAGCCATGGCGAAGACACATGTACAGGTGATTTGATGATTTGAACCAAGTGGCATCGGTACCGTTGCTTTGATGGAACAACGTCGCGCCTTCAAAGTGACATTGTTTGTGTTTTTATGGAATTGGTTTGCTAACGTGGGGGATTGATCGTACGAAGCAAAATCTGTTTCCGTTGATATCGAGGGAAACAACCCACGAAACCCTTACCATCGCGATGAACCAGCCCGGCGGACGCTCCAACACGGTCGAAGACCCATTCCACAAGCGGTAGGATCGAAATGACTCAGTCGTTGAGCTTACCAATGTCGCCGCAGGATGGGTTGCCCATCGACTACCTGTCGAACGCTGACCAGCAGCTCCAGATCAAATTGGTACATCAAGTGGTTTCCTTTTGACGTATTGGTTGTCATTCGCATAATACTGACACAAGGCGCCAATCCAGGCGAAGGTAGAGAACTGCCGGACCACAAATTGTCGCGGCTGATCTCCCATATTGACTTTGAGTGCGACCATAGCAAAAAACTTGCGACCGGACGACTTGGAGACGACTGGTTTGGACTGAGGTACGTTAAATGAGATGAATCAACGATTACCCATGAATTCGCTTAGCCTTTGGCAGCACGAAGAAGGTCGGCGACAATGAATACGCAAGACGTGATAATCGACTGAATTTCATTGATGCGCTTAGCCTCTGGCCCACGACGACGACGACATGCACGGCACTCGACCAATCTTCAAGGTACGCAATTGTATTTAGGCATGTGGACGTGTGTTTGTTGATCGACGTGCCGCGCCGCGATGGTTTTCAGGCCTCCGCTGCATCACGCTGGCAAACCTGGACCGAATAGGCACCGGATATGAGGAAAATAGTGATTGTAAGTCAATTCAAAGAGTGTTGTTGATGTATTTGTGGTATGTTTATGTATATGATGCACAACACATGTGAATAACGATCGCAATCATGATGCCAAGAGATTCTAATCGGGTTTTTAATTCATTAACGTCAAAATTATTTTTTGGGCTCAAAATCGACGCTGAATATCCACCTTCCGAATAAAATTCCACGACATCTCATTATTGAATTTGCCGCCATGGAGAATCAAGCCGCGCTCGCACCCGCAGAGAGCTCTCGAGCTGCGAAAAAGTGCAAGTCGTGTGGGTCAGATAAAGTATGTCATTTTCTCTAAAAATTATCCTTTTCAAGATAGAACCATTTTTCCAAAATTGCAGGATTACAGTCCGACACCAAACTAAAAAAATGAAGACATTGAGAGCTTATGTAGGCTAAACGAATGCAAGTTGTTGCGTGCGGCGAATGCGCGAATTGCACTAGCTGCACACACGCTTCGCTGCTACAGTGCTCACCATAGTCTCGTGACACGCTAGCACAGAGCTAAACCACCATTCGACTTCGCTTTAAAGCAATAGAGAAACATGAAATTCATCTATGCACACATCAGTCGCTGATTTATATTCCTTTGCACGAAGTTGAGCAGCAGCCACCTAGACGAAAGGGGTGACCGAGCTGGTCGGTTGAATATTCGTGTTAGTTTATCAATATTTCACAAAGCGACAAAAACGAATACTAGAATGTATTTTATCGACGAAGTTCAAGTTGTTATTTGAATTTTGTAAATTAGCCTGCAAATATTTCTTAGTTTCTACATTGTACGTTTCTGCGAAGTGAAATCATGTAAACCAACAGATCTATTGCTTCAAAATTGACGGATAGATTGGTTGTTACAGTCAAATGCAATGTGTATTGATTGGACTTTTCCCTTTGTACTTTGAAGTATTTTCGCACAATGGACTGCCGATGCTTCACACCTCATTCGGAAACTGCATTTTCAGAGGTAGCATTTACATGTATTTGTGTTTCTAATAATGGAGTTTTTTCCACAGCAAAACACTTACATTGGTG